ACACTCTTCTGCACGAACTGTTCTCCGAACAGTTCTGGTCGAGGCCGTCGTGTTTGCAGCGCATCGGGCTCACGGTCTAAGAGCACCGCCTGTGCTCTCGGCACGCTCCCTGGGTCCCAAGAGATCACCCCGTGGCAGAGGCCCATGTAGGGGGCCAGATGTGAACCCTACCCCTACCCCCCACGATTTCTGAGGGCAAGGGTGGGGTTCACTTCGTTCGGGAGCTCCCGAACGAAGTGAGCCCCACCCTCGCCCTCAGAAATCGTGGGGGGTGGGGGTAGGGTTCACATCTGGCCCCCTACCATGAGAATGCCGGGGGGGGAGGGGGGGGGGGGCCGGCCCTGCTCCACAGGCCACGTAAGAAAGGGCGGAGGGGGGCCGGGGGGAAGAGGCGGAAGCGAGGCGCGCGCGCGCGCCCCGCCGCGGGGCGCGCGGCGTCGGCGGCGTCGGCGGCCCCCCCGCGGCGGCGCACGCCCCGCGCGGCGGAGGGCGCCGCCCCGCGGAGGCTCGGACCACGCGCGCCCAGGCCGAAGGCATGAAAGGGAGCGCGGCGCCGCGGGGGCGCGCGGGGCGAGGGGCCTGCAGGGCCGAGGAGGGCGCACGGGCGGCAGGGGGGGGGGGCGGGCAGCCGCCGGGCGGCCTCTGAGGTCCTGTCGCGCGGAGCTCCGGGGCGTGGGCGCTCGAGCTTCCCCCCCCCCCAGCGCCGCCCCGGGAGGTCCAGCGTCGACCCAACGATGCCTGTGGTGCGCAGTCTAGTGAGTAGTGTGATTGTGATCGTGAGCGTGATGCGATTGTGATCGTGAGCGTGTGCATGTCGACGTATCGATGTGCATGTCGATTTGCTTTTCGATCAGCATCTCGATTTGCATGTCGACTTGCATTGGAAAGCTCGCCGCAGGCGCCGACTTGCATTTGGATGTGCATGCCGATTTGCATTTCGATGTGCTTTTCGGTTTGCATGTCGGTTTGCATGTAGACTTGCATTGGATAGCTCGCCGCAGCCACGGCGGGACACCAGCGGGACACTAGCGGGACACCGCGGGCCACCGGCCGCCAGAGGAGAAACATTTGGTCCGGCCGCGGCCCAGCCACAGGAGGATTTCATTTCGCCCGCCCACGCAGCTTCGCCTCGCCCGCACGCACGCACGGCACGCACGACACGAATCCGAAACCGAAATCGATTTCCCGTAGGGGGGGGTCTCCGTTTCACGTCGGACTCACCCCCTAACCTCCGATATGTGTTTCTCTCTCTCTCTCTCTCGCTCTATTCGTATATAGTCATAACTATACACAAATGTGTGTGTGTGTTGGATCCCTTGCCAGGAACATTATGTCCGAAGTGCAGGTGCCAACAATAAAGTTGAGCACGGACGCCCGGCGCCTTTCCACGGTGAGCCGCGAATGTTTTACGGGATTGCATCTGTTGTGTTGGTCTCTCGAGCTGGATTTGTAGCCCCCCTGAGTGCAGTAGTGGTTCGTGCGCAGGTCAACAATAGCAACACCTGTAGCACCATTGTGCCCCCCCCCCACCCCCCCCCACCCACACCAGTGCAGACTGGACCCGCTTCGGAGAAGCGGCTTCTCGTAGGGGCAACAGCCGCGAGTTGATGCCCTCATCGGCCCGTGAGTGCTCAAGGGATCTCGCCCCGCCCCGCGGACTCGGGCAGCCGCGCTGGGCGCATCTCTCGCAAACGACATCTGACAGGGGGGGGGGGCGCCTGGCTCAGCACGCGCTCGCTAACTGTGGCTGGCAGGCCAACCCTCCGCGCTTCCCTGGTGCACGCCATGAGTCGTCGCGATAGGTCTTCAATGTTGCACTCCCTGCCCCGCACCCCCACGAAAGATTTCGGCTGGCAACGAAACTCGTCTTCCCCCTCCTCTCCTCCCCCTGGGAGTCTTACGGAATATCCGAAGAACAGGTAGCTGCCATCCCAGGAAGGGGGGGTCATCAAAGACCCCATCTGGGTCACAAGCGCCGCGAGTGGCAAACACTTTTTTTGCGTTTTCGGCCAGGCAGAGTCGCTGCGCTGGCGAGGAAGCGAGCGAGCTGCAAACACATGACTCCCAGATGCCCGCGCCGCCGTCCCTCTCAGAAGCACGGCTGGACTCTGCGAAGCGCGCGAGTCCTCGGCCTCCCCTGGGGGCGCTGGGCCCGTGCAGCTCCTCGTGGGACCGCCCGCCGCCCTGCCGGCCTCTGCCGCTCTCTCTCTCTCTCTCTCGCTCTCTCGCTCTCTCGCCGGGTCGATCGTTTCTGCAGTCCCGCCTCCGTCGTGGGGGGGGGGGGGGGAGGGGGGCGCTGCGCCCCCAGGATGACGCGGGGTGCCCGTCTCTCGGCCCCCCTGGCCGCTCCGGATCCCCGGGGTGTTCCCACAGGGCGCCACCAGGCACCCCATAGGGTGCTCGGGAGGCCCACGGAGCACGGCCTCAGCAGGTCCCGAGAGAAGCCCAGGGCGGCCGTATCCGACGCACCTGTTCTGTTCAAGCCACTTCTTGCTCCATGAGTGAGCGCCTCTCCGGAGCTGCAGGTTAGAGCTCTTTACTTTTCGCCCGCTATGCGCTCATGAGTGGCACCACCAGCAGCAGCAGCAGCAGCAGCAGCAGCAGCAGCAGCTCCGCATCCTCCAGCAGCAGTAGTTCTGCGGACAAGAAGAGGCGAAAGAAGGCGAAGGACAAGAAGAGGAAATCCGACAAAAAGAAAAAGAAAAAGAAAAAGATCAAACATAATGCCAAAGACAAAAAGGTGAAGAAGGGCATTAAGAAGGATAAAGCCACACAAAAGAAAAAGACGCCTAAGGCAGACCGACAGTCGGAAGCTGCTTGGCTAGAGGGAAGGGACAAGCGTGACATTGACTTCGTGAAGAAAACAGGAGGGAACACCATCATGGCGGCATTTCTCGCCTCGGGGGCGACTTTTGGAACCAACGCGAGGGACGAGCGTCGGCAGGGGTCGTTGCCATCAAGCCTGGCGAGTTTTAAGCCTTCGCAGTGCCCTATTTGCGGCGCGCCCGCAGGTCCACGTCACTCCTGCTCTGGCATGGCATGAATGCTTCACAAGTCTTGCGAAAGCTGCCGAATTGCGTAGTTGCGTATCAGCGTGCAGCATGCCCTGCAGCGCCATACGTTTGTGGTGTGTGTGTCCAGCAGCACCCTTTGACAGGATGAGTGCAGGCTGATTCTCGTTCAAAGCAGGGTGTCTGAATGTTGTGTGAGGCGAGGTCACGCCGTCATGAAAAGAGAACCCACGACGGCCAGATGTGGCCCAACATGCTTCTCTGATGGCCCAGGAGGGCGCGCCCCGGGGAAATGCAAACAACAAAGAGCCAGCAGCGAGTGGTTCAGTGTTGTTTGCTTCTTCACCGCCTCCACTTCCAGGGTCTTCCAATATTGCTTCCATGCGGCCCCACGAGGCACAGCTGGCTCCAAGATGCTCCAGATGGCCCGAGCATGCCCCCCCAAAAAGTCCCCAACAGCTCCCGAGAACACCTACTCCCTCTTCCTGCTCCTCCTCCTCCTCCTCCTCCTCCTCCTCCTCCTCCACCTCCTTCTCCTCCTCCACCTCCTCCTCCTCCTCCCCCCTGTCGGCCGCCCTTACGACTGCCACGTTTGACCCGCGGGGTGCCCTTCACGGGACTCCGCGGGTGGCATCGCCGAAGCGGGGACGGGAAGAGCACGCAGAAGACGGCACGGGGTCGCAGAAGGCTCCACGGTCAGGAACGCTGGCTCGGCGTGCCGCGCCGCCGGAGCTGGTCCACCACACCGCGGCACGACGCACCCCTCGGCATCCGAGCTGTTCCCGTGGACCTCCAGTGCAACGCGCTTTCTGGCTCGAGTGCAGCCTTTGGGGTGACGCGCGCTGTCCGCTTTCAGGGCAGGGCGTGTCGCAGGGGCAGCCGCCGCGACACGCTGAGCAGCCGTGCCTGCCCGCAGAGGGGGGGGGCATGCCAAAAAACACCCTGCTTGCCTTCAGGGTGCCCTGGGTTTCTCGGGCTTCGATGGTTCTGCCATGGAGAGCGCGACGCTCCCCCGCCGAAAATCCATGGACGTCCTGAGGTCTCCTGGCTGGGTTTCTTGTGGTCGGGCCCCCACTGCAGAGAGAGTGGGCACGAGGCAGCCCCCGAGGGCCGCAGCCGGCGAGAGGGCCCCTGCCGCCCGTTGCTTGCGTGTGCTGGCCGGGCCTGTCTCGGCCCGCCGGCGGCGCAAAAGGCAGCTGGCGAGGCGGCCCGGCATGGCCCAAGAAAACCCCTATGAAGACAAGACTTCTGAAGGAATATCCCAGAAAGGTCAAAACATACTAAAAAAATAGTCCCCGGACTATTTTTGGGTTATTTTTGGATTATTGTTGGGGTATTTTTTAATTTTTCGCCGAAAATCCCCTGTAGGGGGACAGGCCCGACTTAAGACAAGGCGTCGAAGCAAGGGTCACTCTTGTGATCTTGTTTTACGCGCTGTTTTGCCGATCGGCGCGGGCTCCTCACCCCCCCCCTTCCCCCCCCCCCCCATGGAGTAGATCTTGGCAATTTTTTGGCGCCTGTGCTGAGCGGGTGGGGTCTCCCCCCAGAGGCAGCACTCTTGCAAACAGTCGCACTAAGCAGAGGTCTGGAGCCAGACCCCCCCCTCCCCCCCCCTTCCTCCTAATATCGAAACACAGAAAAAAAGGCTCACCTTCAAGCAGTGGCGAAGCGTCCTGGCCCGCCGATAGGCCCACCAAAGACTGTTCTAGAAACCTTTTGAGGCGTGCACGAACGGCTCTTAGAACATGTCTGGGTGGGGCTGCCTTGTTTGAACTCCTCGGGCGCATGTTCTAAGAGCATGTACCACGAGATGTTCTGAGAGCATCTCGTGGTAGGCCTATAGGAATGCCGGGACGGTCTGTCCCTGCTCAAGCTCTGGGCTCGGGATGGGCCGGGATATCAGGCTTCTTCCTGGATCCAGGTCGGGGGGGGTATTCGTGGGCGAGGCTTGCGGCAGTCGGACAAGCACCACCATTCTTTGTTCAGGCCGGGCAGAGCAGGTAGAAGGGCATAGGCAGAGGAAGAGGAAGGGGTACTGGCAGGCCTCCAGAGGTGCGCGAGCAAGGCCTCCAGAGAGGCCGTAGCCGTTTCGGTGCAAGATCGTGCGAGCAGGTGCACGAGCCGCAGCCTCTGGTCAGGTCCACGTGTCCCCGCCCGCTGCCCTGTATACGCGATGACGTCCAGCGATGAGCGCAAGCAGCGGAAGCAGAACATGTCGCCGTGCGTCGCCTGCTGCTGCTGTGAGGCGTCCTGCACCGCCAGCTAGATCATGAGCTCGCCGCTCATGGGCTCGTTCAAAGCCATGTGCTGCGCCGGCTCCCGTGCACTCGAGTGCTGCTGCATCAGCTACGAGCCAGACCCCTGCTGGTCGGATGAGCGCGGCATCTGCGAGATCGCGAGCACGCTCCTCTGCTGCTATACGGAGGTGCAGTTCCCCCTGGGCAGCGGCATCGGCTGCGGCTGCTGCGGCGTTGCCCTGTGCCGCAAGAGTGACGACGCGCCTCCAGCCGAAGAGTGAGGGGCACCCGTGGCTCGGGGCACTTGCTGCCCAGGCGTTGCCAGGGGTGGCCCTGGCCCGAGCCGAGGCGCCCCCCTGCCTTTTGTGCCATCTTGGAGGCCCTGGGGCCTTCGTGGCCCCGCGAGGGGTGCTCTGGGTGCCATCTGGGCCTCCCTGGGGATCCTCTGGGTACACCTGGGTTGGGCCAGTGGCCCCTTTGGCAATTGGTGCGCACGTTTGTGACTCCCCTCAAGTCATTTCGGCTCAAGATTCGCCGCGAGGAGGGCGAGCGCATTCCCAATCCACAGCTTCTGGTCAGGGCCACACTTCGCCACCAGTTGTTCTGCGCGCGATGACGTCCACCGATGAGCTCAAGGAGCTGAAGCAGAACATGTCGCCGTGCGTCGCCTGCTGCTGCTACGAGCTGTCCTGCACCGCCAGCCAGGCGATGACTCCGCCGCTCATGGGCACCTTCAAGGTCTGCTGCTGCGCGGGATCTGTCGCGCTCGAGTGCTGCTGCATCAGCTGCGAGCCAGACCCCTGCTGGTCCGAGGAGCGCGGCATCTGCGAAGTTGCCAGCAAGCTCCTCTGCTGCTACACGGAGGTGCAATTCCCACCCGGCAAGGACATCGGCTGCGGCTGCTGCGGCGTTGCATTCTGTCGCTCGAGCGACGACGCACCTCCGGCCGAGGAGTGAGGGGCACCCGTTCGGGGCGCGTGTCACGCGCACACATCAGTTTATACGATTTAGGCATCTTCAGTGTTTCGCCGGCAAGTGCAAACATGCGGCGCAGTGAACAATATGTTGCCATTGTTGTGGGGATGACGGGCTCTGCTGAACACTGTCTGCAGCAAAGATGCCTGTCTGTGAGAGAACAACAGACAGCTTTTGTGACTACCCTCGGCGTTTTCCCCGGTTGGCGCCGAGAGGAGTGGCCAAGTATCTTCGGGCTCCGCTGAACACGGTCTGCGGCAAAGGCGCCCGCGTGCGATTGAGAAAAGGCGAAGCTTCCAGATGGACTCGAGTGCAGGCCTCAAGAGAGGCCGACGCAGGGATTTCCAGGGAGCAGCAGAGAGATCCCCCCCGAGAGGCATTGAGAGTCCTGCAGAGAAGCCACCAACGAGATATTCCAGAGAGGTCCAGAGGAGTAACCCCAAGAGGCCTTCAGAGAAGCGCCAAGAAAATTCCAAAGTGGTAGCCAGGGAGGGTCAAAGAGGCCTCCAGAGAGGTTCTCGACGAGGCTCAACAGGCCTCCAGAGAGGCACGACGTCGGAGAGAGGCCCTCAGAGAGTTTTAGAGGCTTTTGGAGAAGCCTTCGAGAGGTCTCCATACTTCAGACGGGCCAAAGGAGGCAGAGCCTTTCGAAGTTGCGTTCGCGAGAGCCAAGAGAGGCATTCGATGAACTTCAGAAGGGCCCCCTAAAAGACTTGCGGAGAAGCCTTCAGAGTGGCCCAGAGGGGCTGCGGAATAGACAGCCGAAGGAGATTTTGAAATGGTTGTTAAACAAGTGGGAAGGGCTATTAGAGAGAGGCCCACATGTGATTCGAATTACGCCTGCAGGAAAAACCCAAAGAGATGCTGTCGACCGGTCAATCAGAGAGGCCCAACAAGGCATTCGAAGATGGGTTCAGGGAGCTTTCAAAGAGGGCTTCGGATGAGGCTGCTAATCCCCGACCTCCTACCCGGACGCAGAAAGGCCCTCCAGAGACACAGAAAGATCCAAAGCAGGACTTTGGTCGGTGGCGACTTGGGCCCAAGACGCCGTCCAAGCACCGCGGGACCTATCCGTGGCGGAGTCAACGGGACACACGGACCCAAACCCTCGACGCCATGATTTTCGTTCACAACGTCGCCCTTGAGAGGTCTGGACCCTATCCCCTGGACGGGCGTCTCTTCCTGAGTTGTTTTCTTGTTGACGGTCCCGAGGCCCTGTCAGGGCCCCCAGAAGCAGAAAATAGAGAACAACCTCCAGTCGCGATTCTCCATGACTCGAGGGGGTCTGGGATCCGTGGTGGAGCCAACGAGAGACGCCAGCTTGGACACGAAAGGGCCCCTCCGAGAGCACGCGAGGGCTCCAACGACTTCTGAGGGCCTGCGAGGGCCTGTGGTGGCCCGCGTGAGGTCCTGCAATGGACTTCGAGTGCCTCCGGTCAGGGGAGCAAGAGGTCCTCCTCCTCCGCCTCCTCCTCCTCCTCGTCCTCCTCCTCCTCTCCTTCTCCTCCTCCTCCTCCTCCTCCTCCTCCTCCCCCCCCCCTCCTCCCCCTCCTCCCCCTGCTCCTCCTCCTCCTCCTGCTCCTCCTCCCCCTGCTCCTCCTCCTCCTCCTCCTCCCCCTGCTCCTCCTCCCCCTCCCCCTCCTGCTCCTCAAGCATTTTGGGCTCGAGCACCAAGCCCTCTCACCCCCGTGTGAGAGGCAGATTGCTCAGTCCAGGCCCTCGCCTTCACGGGGCGCTTGGGGGGCACCGAGGCAGCAGCTCACCTTGGGAGCCGCCTTTCTCGGTGGCGAAGAGGGCCGAATCCTTCCAGGGATGGCGCCTCATTCCACTGCTGCATGGTCGACGTGCAAAGGCTGCGGCCGCAGCGAGTGGAACAGTCTTCTCTTGGAGCGTGATCGACGATGCCAGAAGTGCGGAAGGGCGGTCAAGCTCTATCAGGGGAAGAAGGACAAGAAAGGCGACGCCAGCGACGCAGGACAGCAGCGGTTGGCTCTTGCAGGACCTGCAGCAGGGGGGGGAGCTCCTCAGGCGGTCGCGAGTTCCAAGCTTGCCACGCTGGAGAGCGCTCTCACGGTCACTTCGGACCCGACGCTCCAGCAGGCCCTCAGGAGCCAGATATCAGTCCTCAAGGGGGAGCTCAACTTGCTTGGCTCGAGCTCCACCCCTGAGGAGGCCGTGAAGAAAGCGGATGGCGCCGTCAAGGACGCGCAGACCAAGCACGACCAGGCCTTCGCCTCCTTGCTTCGCGCCAGGGAGAACCTTTCTCGTACCGAGCAGAAGGAGGAGGAGACCGCGATTGTTTTGGCCGCAGCTCAGGAGGCCAAGAAGTTGGCGGCTCAGGCGTTAGCGACCAAGGTTGGAGTGCTCGCGCCGACGCCGTCCAAGGCCGATTCGGATCAGTTGTTTGACATCACATGGGACGAGCAGTTTTTCGCTGGCATAGACGACATGGACGCCGAGCCAGCCGAAAAGGAAGCCCTCAAGAAACTCGAAGCCGACTTGAGGGCCACCAAGACCCAGCTCACGACAAAGAGTACGGAAGTAGTAGGATGGCTCGAGAGGGCCAAAGAGTTGCAGAAGCAGATCGAGGCCAGGCATGCCAAGAAGCGTCGGTGCGTAGACGGTGACTCTGTCAGTGGCGGCGCGGACGGTAACCAGGCCAGCCAGGAGGCGGAGCCGTCTGTCGGTGGCGCGGTGGGCGGCACCAGCAGCGGCAGCAGCGGCGCCAGCGGCGGGCCCTCCAACAGCTCCGACGCCGACGACAAGTCGAAGCAGGAGGCTCGCATCAAGGAGGCAGCTAAGAAGATCACGGCGGCGAAGCAGGCAGCGGCGGACGCGGCGGCCCTCGCCGTCAACACCCCTGTCTCCAAGTGACCGCTACGAGGGGCTCCTGCAGTTGGCGCCGACGCAGGAGGTGCACCCCGCCAAGGCCCACGGGGACCAGCCGACGGGTGCGAGCAGTCGGCGGCTGGTGGCGACTTGGGATGCTCACCGAGTATTTCGAGGCGAGAGGGGAGCCCAATCTCCCCGAATTATGGCTGCGGCGACCCTGGCGGCAGGCCCTCCCAACGGGAGTCGGGAGCTTCGAGCCACAGGGTAGGTCGCAGCACAGGCACTGGGAGTTCGTGCCCTCAGCGGCGGGCCCCCCTGGAGCCAATCCAGGGACCACTCACCATGGCGGACGAGGAGCGCCTCGCCATGTCCAAGAGTGGGTCAGACAGTTATTTCTTCTTCGCTAACGTCACGGCTATGGGCAAGCAAGCTTGGGACTTCATCTCTGGTCCAGCGTGCAAGCCCTTCCACTTCTTTGGCATCGCCGAGACGCACGTCGAGAGCAGCAAGGACGTGCAGCACTGGCGAGAACAGGCTCACAATAATCATTTCAAACTCATTCTCAATCCCGCTCGAGCCTTAGGGCGGGGCAAGACGGCAGCGACTCAGGACAAGTCTAACGAGGGCGGCGAGTGGCTCATGTGCCGTCACCATCTTCAGATGCAGAGCTTGAGCGACACGGATGCGGTACTTCGTGATTTGCGAGCGAGTGGTTCCTCAGCGTTGGATGGGTTCAGCGCGGCCATTGTTCACATGCACGGGTACTCGTTGGTGGCCATTACTTTCTACGGCTTCTGCTCCGACGGCTTCGGGGGCAGGAACCTCGCGCGCCTGGCCAAGCTCGGAGCGCTTGTCGCACAGCTTCGTTTGCCATGGTTCATAGTTGGAGATTCCAACCTCGAGCCCGAGGTGCTGGTGCAGCGAGGGTTCATCCAGAAGGTTGACGGGGTTATCTTCAAGCCGATGGGAGCGTCAACGACCTGTCAGTCAGGTAAAGGCGCCATGCTCGACTACGTCATTGCTAGTCATTCGTGTGTCCCCTACTTCGTCAGCGTCACGCCCATCCTTTCAGTTCCATGGAAACCTCACAGTGCAGTGCTGATTCGGCTTCGCAGTTCGGGGGCGCAACTCTTGTGCAGGGAGCTGGTCGCGCCGGCTAGACTCCCACAAGTTCCACGGCCAGGAGTCGCACCTACCCCTGGGTCTAAGTCCAGTATTGCCAAGGCCCAACGAGTCGCAGCCAAGCAGTCCCAGAAGCTGAGGTTCTCGGAGGCGTCGGAGGCTCTGTTCGGGGACCTCACTGCGGATCCTGAGCGGGCCGATTTTGAGCTGGACGACGGTCTGTCGGACGGCGATTCAGGCGATGACTTCGATTTAATCTCTTCCAGTTTTTTTGACGACGCGGCTGACGCCGATGTCTCCGCCCCCAGTAGAGCGAAGGCCAAGGCGTCTCCAGCTGTCGCGTCTCTGTCTGAGCAGTGTCTGTCTGAAAACCAGTTTCTTGGGACCGTAGGGGGCCCCCCCTCCGAGACCCCCCCCTCGGCAACCACTAGTCAGTCTGATCTCCCTTCCTTCTCCATCCCGTCTGAGCTCTGGGAGACCTGCAGAGGCCACGTGGGGTACACGCACTCGGACGGTGGGCAGGAGGTCTGGCCAGTTGTTCGAGACTCAGTCGCGTCCGCCGTCGGAGGTCCACACGTTAGTCATCTTGGAGCTCTCTACTCTTCTTGGGCTTCTACGGTGGAGCAGGTCATCACTACTCACCACGGCGTTGCTATCTCTGGAGGCACCACGAGGGGCCAGGGTCCTTTCTTTCGGGTGGTTGAAATGAAGGCTCCTGATAAAGCTCGGGATCAACCTCTACACGACGTCGTGGCAAGCTGGTGGGGACGTCTTTCCACTGTGCTCACCTCCCTCAGTAAACACCGCAGTCGAGGCAGCGGGGTCGCGCAGCAGGCACAGTTAGTCCAGGCGTGCGCAGCACTCGCGGGAGACCAGCCTCCAGGGGTGCACGTTCCTCTTTTGCGAACTCCAGATCCAGATGATAGCTCTCGGCATGCGGCCTGGAGTACATGGCAGGACAAATTACACCGCATTGCTACTCTTTCAGATGGCTCCGTCGAGCGACTTGCTCAGGCAGCCAGACGCGTAGCAGGTCGAGCTCGGAGCCGAGCTCTGTGCTCTTCTTTGCGGGGATTTCGGAATTGGACTACTACTTCGGAGGCTCCTGGAATCTTGCACAAGTCTCTTAAGAAGGTTCCCCCAGTTCCCGACGAGATTCAGGTCAACGGCAAAACCCTGTTCCATCCCATGGACATCGTCGACCACAAAACGAAACGATGGCACGATCTCTGGAGCCCCAAACCAGTCCCGATTCCCGACATCAAGGATATGTTCCAGGATATTCGCGAGGCTGCGGCTGTGGAGCAGCTCGAGCCTTTGTCCGTCGAGCGCGTCCAGCGCGCCTTGCACGCCATGAAGGCCCAAGCAGGACGAAGTTAGATTATGGTCCAAGGATTCGGAGCCAGCCTGGGACGCAGCGATCGCAGGCAACTCGGCGCTGCGTGAAGTATTTTTACGTGCTCTTCAAGACGAAGGGCTCGCCAGATTGGGTTGTGCATTCGGAGAGGGTCTCTTGGACATCAAGGGGTTTTACGATGCTATGGGGTGGATTCCGTTGGCCAGGTCTGCTCTTAAGATGGGATTTCCCCCACGGTCCTCGCCCTGGAGCTCCAGATGTGCATGGCCCCACGCGTCTTATCCCAGCTTGGTTCTTTCTCCCAGGCGTTCCAGCCGTGGCAAAGTATTATCCAGGGGCTTCGGAGCGGTACCAGACTCGGGAGATGCATGGTTTATTATATACTCATGAAACTCACCACTACGCATGTTAATATGTCATATCGTATATGGGTTGACGATTTGACTCAGCACACGGCTGGTTCGCGGGAGGCAGTTCGTGATAGATTGTACCATGGCATCCTGGACACTTGCACCACGCTGCAGGAGCACGGTCTCCAGATCGCCAGCAAGAGTGTCGTGCTATGTTCTCACGCCGCTGACAGCAAGGCGGTGGTCCGTCGGCTTCGGCGCCGAGGTTTCGTTCTTCAGCACGCTTTGCAAGCAACTTATTTTGGGGTCGATTTGGGAGCAGGCAGACTCGCTAGAGCAACGAGGAGGCAGAGAGTCATCAAGGCAACGGCAATGAACCATAAGATACGCAAGTTCGCTCGCTCGAGTCGGAAGTATCGTACTACGGGGCTTCTTGAACGGGCGGGAGTTCAGGCTGCAGGGACTTATGGGCATCAGATTTCAGGAGCTTTTGGTGATTTTCGGGTCCAATGTCGTCGACGATTGGGTGCTACTCTTGCCTCTTCTAAGCGTGGGCGTTGTCTCACAACTTTACTTGATTTGCGTGCCGACGGGCACGATCCCGAATACAAGTTGCCGCGCGACGGGCTCCAGCTGTGGTTGAGGACCTGGCTGAGCGAGCCCAGCATGCGCGCTCCTGTCCGTGCCGCCTGGCCTGGTCTTGTTCGCCAGCTCCGTGAGCTAGCACCTCAGCAGATTTCTCGGCATGTACGGGGGCCCATCTCGTCCATCATCGCCTACCTACTTGAGTTCGGGTGGGACCCAGAGTCTCCAACAAAGTGGCATTCGCCAGCTATCTATGACGACGCTGGGGGCACTTGGTCGTTTCCTGATGATCTCGTCACCAGCTCTGAGGACATTAGCGGTTTGCTCACCGAGTTCGAGGGGTCTATTCGGTCTAGGCTTTGGGTGAACGCTTCCAGGCATTACTGCGGTGAGGGGCTTCAAGGTGGGGCTGACAACGGCTCCCTCAGGCAGCTTTTGAAGGTCCTCAATGGTGTGCCTCATGGGGCCAAGCTCTCGGAGACTCTGTTGGTGATTGCTATCGGTGGGTCTTGGCCGTTATCCAGGGTGAAGGACGAGACGGGTGCCATCAGCGACGACGCGTGTCCCAGGTGCGCCGTTCAGCGAACACGCGCTCGGCATCGGCGAGATTGACAAGCCTCTGCTGGTCTTCGGAGATGCCAGCGGGGGCGAGGATTCCAAAGACCGACGGCTTCGGCGCGCCGGAGTTTCAGCTGTCGTCGTTCGTGACTTCGATCATCCTGCAGTCGATTCAGTCATCTTCGGGCCTCTTCCTGGAGCTGCTCAATCGGTCCCTCGGGGTGAATTATGGGGATTCCTTCTGGCGCTCAGGCACTCTCGAGGGCCCCTGGTGTACGTCACGGATAATAGTGGAGTTTCCGATGGGTGGTATCAGGGATTTTGGCGGGCCCCTCGCGGGGCCAACGCCAACGTCTGGAAGGCTATCGCTCTTGAGATGAAGTTTCGCGACCCGTCGCACGTATGTGTCATCCAGATACCGTCACATATTGAAGCTGAAGATATCTCGAGGTCCCGCTTTCCTGAGTTTCTGATCATTGGAAATCATATGGCCGACGAGTTCGCTGGCCTCGCTGCAAAAAAAGTGTCGCGTTGATGCTGAAACCAGGTTTCGAGATGCTAAAGCTGAGGTTGATGCCAGCCTTGTCCGTCGGAGGCTCCTGCGCGCCACTCTCGAGGCCATGGCCGCGAGACCGTCGCCCGCCAGGTCCCGACCTACGACCAGGCCGCCCCCTCCTCCCTCCCCCTCCTCCCTTGTTGTCTTTTCGTCCCAGCATCGGCTCTGTGGCGAAGGGAATCGATGCGCGAGGTGTGGGGGCTGCGCGTCTAAGGACACGCTTACAGCCTGGAGGAATTCGGAGTGTTTCGATCTCATCAGTGTTGGCTCGAATAAGTTTCAGTTGCCGAGGGGGAAGAAGGTCCACATAGGAGGGGGTTGGGTCCACCCGTCCCACCAGCTTGTGTTCTCCGCCACCCTCAGGGTTTGGATTTGCAGCAGTTGTGGTTTCTTCGGAAGCGAGCAGCTCCGAGCGAATTTAGCCGAGGCTTGTTCGAAGCCCCTGAACCATGTTCGTCGGCGCTATCTCGCTAATTTCGATGCTGGGCAATGGCCCAAGGATCAGGGTTCGAACCGAGCTAAGCCCTCGTAGTTCGTCCTCGTTGTCGTATCGCACCGCGATAGAGCCCATTCCATTCCATTCCACTCCCCCTCCTGCTCCTCCTCCTCCTCCTCCTCCTCCTCCCCCTGCTCCTCCTCCTCCATCTCTCCCTCCTCCTCCTCCTCCTGCTCCTACTCCTCCTCCTTCTCCTCCTCCCCCTCTTCCTCCTCCATCTATTCCTCCTCCTCCTCCTGCTCCTCCTCCTCCTTCTCCTCCTCCTCCTCCTCCTCTTCCTCCTCCTTCCCCCTCGTCTTCTTCTTCCGCCACCTTCTCCAGGATTCCCAGGGTCCCCCAGATGTTATAATTTTCCACATCGGCTGCAGACACGAGGGCCGCCTGATACTCTGGAAGGCCTGGCACGCATCCAGCTTTACAGCATCACTTTCCATAATTGACCATGACATCTGGCCAATCATACCATGACAGCATTACTTTCCTACTCGAGGGCCTGCGAGCACGTGTCGAACGGGGAGGTCCAGAGCGCTCCGCTGCTGGCCTCCTCCTCCTCAAAAATCTCCTCCTCCTCCTCCTCCTCCTTCCCCCTCGTCTTCCTCCACCGCCACCCCCCCCCCAGGATTCCCAGGGTCCCCCAGATGTTCTGACGTTCCACATCGGCTGCAGACACGAGGGCCGCCACATACTCTGGAATGCCTGGCACGCATCCAGAGCCAAATCATACCATGACAGCATTAATTTCCCATTCGAGGGCCTGCGAGCACGTGCCGAACGGGGAGGTCCAGAGCGCTCCGCGCGGTTCCCCTCAAGAGCCGTCTCCTACGCCCCGACGCCCCTCTCCCCAAAGGGGACAAGGGGAGACTCGTTGGCCGCCTGGCTGGACCCTTGTTGCCACCCTGTGCCGCGGCTCGCCTGAGTTCGTTCTGGCCTTGGGAGGATGATGTCCAGGAGCGGGGGCTTGTCCTGAGTTCGTTCTGGCCTTGGGAGGGTAAGTTGCCTCGTTTGCTTGCAGCGCGTGCGTAGCACGTCTACGTCCATAGTTTCGGGCTCCAGCCGCGCTTCAGCAGTCGCCGCAGAGGTTTCTGCCCACACCGCCGAGCAAGCACCACTGCATCGGCTTCCTACTTGGAGGTGAGTGGGTAGCACCATGTCCATTCTGACACCGCCACTTGTGGACGTCCGCTGTTTTTTTGACGGCGCTGGGACCGAGCTGGAGAAATCCGCCTCGGCAGAAGCAGCGAGGTGGGCTTGCCGCGCGCATGGCTTTCTGGCGCTGCCAGCGCACGGAGGCATTGCTTCCGAGGTCGTGGTCGCCGCATTCGACAGCATCCAGGCGCTCTTCGCGATGCCGCAGGAGAAGAAGATGGAGCTCGCCTTCAGAGACGTGCGCGAGAACGTCGGCTACATCCAGCTCGGCCGCGAGAAGCCAGACCTGAGCGAGGCAGCTCCCGACCCGAAGGAGGTGTTCCAGTTCGCCCCGGGCAAGCGGCAGCTGCCAGCCGAGATCGAGGAGCCGCTCGCCGCCCTCTTCCGCGCGGGCATGGCCGCGTCGCGCGCGGCGCTCCGCTGCCTGGCGCGCTCGCTCGACCTGCCCGAGGACGAGCTCGCGGCCAGCACGCGCGACGCGGACCTCTGCACGCTGCGCTGCATCCACTACCCGGGCGGCGCTGCACCGCGCTCCACCCGCTGCGGCGCGCACACCGACTTCGGCTTGTGCACCCTGCTGCTCCACGAGCAGGGCGGCGCGCCCGGCCTCCAGGCCGCCGACAGGACCACCGGCGAGTGGCGGGACGTCGTGCCGCCCCCTGGCGCAGCTGGCGCCGACGGCGGCGTGGCCTACGTCAACCTGGGCGACATGCTGAGCCGGTGGACGAACGGCGAGTGCTGCGCGACGCCCCACCGCGTCGTCGCGCCCGCCGACTCGGCGCAGGCCGCGCGCTCGCGCTTCGTCCTCGCCCTCTTCTGCGACGCGGACGCCGCGACGAGCCTGGCCTGCCTGCCGCAGTTCACCTCGGCCGAGCGGCCGCCGCTTTTTCAGCCCATGTCCGCGGGCGACTTCAAGGCGATGCGCCTCGCGGGCATCACGGCGGTCAGCTGAGAGGCCGCCACCCGAGCGCGCGGGGCGCTCCCTGCCCGCGCGCGCGGCGGGCGGGCGCGGCCGCCGCCGGGAGCACGGCGTCCGACAGGGCCAGGCGTGGAATTCCTGCCCGCCACAAGAGCGGCTCTCTGCAGCGCGAGCGGCACGGTGCCGCGGGGCTCGGCGCTCGGCGGTCGGGGCGGCCTGACGCGGCCGCAGCTCGGCAGGCGCGCGCGCGCACGGCCCTGCGGGCGGCGCGGCGCCGCACGGCCTTACAGGAGGTGCTCGGAGCCAGACCGCGGGGCCGCTCGGAGGAAAGCGATGCTCCGCCCCGCGCTCGCCCTGGCTGCCACAGTCGCTCGGAGAGGGCTGTGCCGCACGGGGCTCCGCGGCAGCCGTCGCGCCGTTCGGGTGAGGTGGCGCCAGGGGGGCAGAGAAGGAATGTCTGGCCGATCGGGCGAGCGACCGGGAACCCAGGAGCCCAGGCAGGCAGGCCGTCCTTGGCACTGCTCGGCGGTGCTCGGCGCTGCGGCGCATCGAGCGGCGTCGCCAGATCGCGGAGCCCAGGGCGGGAGGGGCGCGCGCCTCGACGACGCCGCCGGGCTGCTGCCACCCCAGGGCGGAGGGGGGCGGAGGAGGGTGGGGACGAAAGGAGGCGTGGCAACAACGGCGGGTCAAGGAAGCGCAAGCCTGGGTCGATGCGTGCGGATGGGCGGCGGGTCCCGCTTCCATGCGGGATCGGCGAGCTCCGTCGCCAGTCCGGGCGGCCCAGGCCTCGCGCTTCGGGGCGTGCTGTCCCCGATCCGTGGGTCTGGCGCCCACGTGCGAGACCCGCGGAGCCGTAGTTGATGCGGCCGCACCGGGGTGTACGATCGAGGTCGGCTCGGGGAGGGCACTCTGATGCTCTTCGCGCTCGGTGGATGCTCTGGTGCCTCCGCAGTCTTGGCCGGCGGAGGGCCTTCTGTTCTTGGGAGGATGCTCCTCTGTCCAGGGTCCTGCCGCACAGGTCGGCGCGCGCCCGAGAGGGGGGGGGGGGGAGGGAGGGATGTGGGCGTGGAGCGGTGCAGCAGCGTGCAACGGACTGGGGGCGGCCTCTTCCTGGCCCGTGTGCGCGGTCCGTGCCTGGCCGGCCACGGCATGCTGCGTGTCGGCCCGCGCGTGCTCGCCGCAGCCGATACCCGAGGAAAGTCTGAGAGCCCGTCGTTTGTTGCCCGCACGGCTTTGCTCCCCCCCTTCATCCCGGAAGCTTCCGAAGTCCTCCAACGCACTCCTGAGACCGCCGGCAACGGCTCGCTTCCCCCTCCTCCTCCTCCTCCTCCTCCTCCTTCTCTTCCTCCTCCTCCTCCTCCTCCAACTCCTCCTCCTCCTCCTCCTCCCTCCTCCTCCTCCTCCTCCTCCCCTCCTCCTCCTCCTCCTCCTCCCTCCTCCCTCCTCCCTCCTCCCTCCTCCCCCTCCCTCCACCCTCCTCCCTCCTCCTCCTCCTCCCTCCTTCCTCCTTCCTCCTCCTCCTGCAGGCCCCGCTCCCCCCTCCCCCCCCCCGCCTCCTCAGTCTGGCCGCCGCCGCCCGGGGCAGAGGCAGTCCCCCCCCCCCCGCCACCGCGACCGCGCGCGCGCGCGCGTCCGAGGGCGTGGGCGGAGAGGGTGCGTCGGCGACTGCGACCACCGGGGGCCCTCACTACGTAGCTGCCCTGATACGCCCGTCCTGTCCTGGCGCCAGCATCGCAGAGCAGATCTCGTTCGGGAAACCATGGGATTGGCCAGGACTGTCCCGGAGAGCTTCGCCCCGGAATTCGAGGCGAGGTTCGTGCGGGTCTGTTTTACACCGCGGTCGCTAATGTTGCTGTTGTTCTTCATGCTGTTTGCATGTTGCCGTGGCGGGCCCACACGTGCGCGTTTGTTGTTCTTGCTTCGTTGTGAAGGGCTCCACTTGTGCGAACTACTTTGCGAATGTCCAATAGCTGGAGATCGTTAGGGATAGTGTGACAATGGTGTCTGTGGGCCCGAACGCCACAAGCGTGAATGTGTGTGGAGGGGATGGAGGAGATGTGGTGTCATGCATGTTCCAGGGAGATGAAGCGAGTGCGCATGATTGGACAACAGCTGGGTCAGATTTACACATTTCTTGTGTTTCACGTGCCCAGTGGTTTGGCAATTGGAGATGCGGAACTAATCATGTTTACAATGTTTCCAGAAAAATTCAGGCGCCAGCACAAAATAACACAACGTCTCTGTTCACCTTTACGACACCGAGAGGTACCCAGCTCTGGTAGCTGACGACATCCTCGGATGTTGTCGACTGGCTACATGATCGGTGCTGACGGCGGAGCAGTGCCACAGTGGGCATGTATCTAATGTTCCTCCGGCCTCTCCCTCCCCTTCTCTCCGGCACCCGCGGTTCAGCCATCCTCATCATATTCTTCCCTGGCCTCACCGTCAGATTCCTATAGGACCCCATCACTGATACGTTGCGCAAGCACCAAGCGCACCAAATTGATCTGTACTGCAAAGTTGCCCACGACGGGGAGCAGCGTCCACTGCAGGAATGCATCCTACCTCGGGACCCTGACGCCAGTGAACGACATGTATACTCGGATTTCGCGTTCGCCTGAGCGCATGCAGAGGCGACGCGCCTAGGGGCGTATGGTAGTCCTGTCATTCCCTCTCCTGTCATCTTCTCCGATTCGCCCTCCTGCTGCAATCTGATGCGCATGGGCAAGAACGGCTCTGGTAATTTCGATGGCACTGGCCATTACGATGATTCTGGTCACGGAGGTGGTAAGCATGGCGATCGTCTTGTTTGCATTGTAATGGTCGCGCTTGTGATGGTGGTGTTGACGCTGGTGACGGTGATGATGTCTAAGTGATAAAGTTTCGTTGTTACCTTTGCAGGTGTGCGCACAAGCTCGACCTCGCCTAACGTGAAAGAGGTCCAACCAGTTAAACTGTGTTCTACTGTTCCTCACGTCATTTTCAGGGCCCCACCGTGGGTAGCAGTTGAATTCTTCGGATGGTAAGGGCCCGCTGTGTCATGGGCTGGGGGGCCATGGGTCTGACAGGCAGATGTTGCGCGATTCTCCTTATTCCTGGTTTCTTTGCCCTCGCATTCCTAATCGTTTCGTTTGCTTCCCTTCCCCGCCCCCCTGCTACTAATATGATATGCGTGACCATGGCGATGGCGTTTTGACCTCTACCGTGCCGCCGTCCACGAACATGATATACAACATGATCTGGCTTGCGATGGCGATCACATTGATGATCGCGATGGTGATCTTGGCATTGATGGGGGTAATGATGCTTAAGCAATGCATATTCATCACTGATGACTTGTCTTGTGGGCACACGATGGGTAGTGCACACCCGATTGCCTGGAGCTCACATGTTATCGTACGACAGGAAATCGAGGTTGCAGTCAATCGCCGAGGACCCAACAGTACGATGACCATATCGTACGTTACGCAGCCTCGTACTTCGAAAGTGTTCGTGCTTGCGCTGCTAGCGCTCATACTTCTCAGCCAGATTGCGTGCCCCTCCCGCCCTCGTACTCAAAGCTTTGGCCAATTGCTCACTCGGCCTTACAGTAGTCCTGATAAGGTTGGTACGGCACGCTGCATTGCAGGTCACATCCTCCTCATCATACGTCCATTTTACAGCACACAGCTCAAGCTGCCATCAGCATGCAGATGAGACCAGCACCTGCTGCGCCTCATGCCATTTGCGCTCCTCCTCCTCCTCCTGCTCCTCCTCCTCCTCCACCTCCTCCCTCCTCCCTCCTCCTCCCTCCTTCTCCTCCTCCTCCTCCTCCTCCTCCTCCTCCTCCTCCTCCTCCTCCTCCTCCTCCTCCTCCCCTCTCCTCCGTCCTCCGCACGACAGCACGCCCCGCGCGCGTCCATCCCGCGCTGCCCCCGCCTTGCCCCACCGCCTCCCGTGCGTTCCGCAGCGCCCCGACTCTCCGCCCCGCGCGCGCGCGCTCCGCGCACGCGCGCGCGCCGGCGCCCGCGCCCGCGGCGCCGATGATGCCGCCGCTGGCGTCGGCTCACCAGGCAGGTTCTCGTCGGTCCTGGGCCCCGACAGGATCGCGTCGTACAGAGAAATCAGGGCGGGGGAGGTGTTTGGCCATTTGCCGCCTCGCCGGGCCTCGTGAGCGTCAGAAAACGATTCAGGACGAAGAACCTGCCCGGGGAAAGGGTGGGGACTTCCGGGGACGCCGTCCTACAGAGATGGGGAAAAAGCAGGACGTCGCATGTCTGGGGAGTTTCTCCTGCCTCGAGATGCGCTCCAGCAGCTCTCCAGGGGTGCCCTTCTCGCCCCGAGCGGCCGTCCGAGACCCGACTCAGGGTCCGACATCCGCTGGACCGCTCGCCGCAAGTGGCTCTGGTGGTGCGCGGCTTTCAGGGCCCCTCTTGATCCGGTCGATCCGACTCGACATCGGTTCTGACCGGCCCTGTCCGATCCCAATCATGGCGGGGGCCACGATATTTCCCTAGATGTCATGGCGCCTCTTTTTATTTCATTACGTCCCTGGCCCCCCCGCTGGGCCGCGCACGTGCCGCCGGTCATGATTTGCACCCACCCCTCTTGGACACCCCCCTCTTGGCCGCTCCCGACAGTGTTTTGGCGATGCAATGCGGTCCATTGCTCGCGTGGACGGCGTTGTGCATCGTGGCGCAGCCGATCCGATGCGATCCCGGCACCGTGCGGAAGCACCCGGATTTCCGCCGCCTTTTCGGGGTCAATGCGTTTTCCGATGTTGACACGCGTGGGAGGGTTGAGCCTCCTTCCCAGACCCCCTGGGGTAACGAAGCAACCATGACTCGAATCATGACGGGAGGTTTTTCCATATCCGTAAGGGCTTCGCCCCCATGCCGCCTGCCTCCCTCTCTTAGAATGGGACTTGCCAGAGCTGTGATGGGATGTCTGGGCGCTGACGTGAAGCAATGTCGGGACTTCACGCGAGGGTCAATATTGATTAACGAGGGTTTATGGTTTCGGAGGGTGGGGTTCACTTCGTCTGGGAGCTCCCGAGCGAAGTGAACCCCACCCTCCCCCTCAGAAATCGTGGGGGGTAGGGGTAGGGTTCGCGTGTGGCCCCCTATGAAAGGTTATGTGTATGCCGCCTTGGCTTCTTCTAGCCCCCCATGAAGGCTTTTGGACGTGTTGGGCCCGTGTTGGTCCTCTGGTGGCTTCTGGGGGCTTGCTCTCCAGGAGAGCACAGGATGGGTCGAGGATGGGACACTGGAAAGGTACAGGGAAAGGAGAATGAATGGCGGATCGCAAGCAACAGGCAATAGTCCTTGGAGGGTGGAATAGTACCAGGGCGACAATCAGCTCCGGCAGATTTTGCTCATTGGCCGAGCCATGCTCAAGATCGCACGAGCTCGGGTGATGCAGGCTGCGAGCTGTAAGCTGTTCTCGAATGTCAGCTTAGGAGCGAAATCCGAGCATGCTCGATTTTTGGACGGGAGGCGCTTTCGCGTCATCGATCGCGCACGCAGGGCCGGCCTCGAACTAAGCACCGCTCCGGAGTTCCGCCATGCTCCAGAAGTCCAGCGCCCGCCCGGGCCCGTGGACAGTGCGAGGCAGCGCGTCCCGCGAGTCCCCGAGACGACCCCGGAGAGCCCTAGCTGATGGGGGGCCGGAGAGTCCCAGAGAGCGCTCCTGGCCCATGGTGCTCACAGCTTCTCGCGCCTCTCCCCTGAGATCCGGCGCTCCAAAAAAATTGGAGCAGGCGGTTTTTGGCAGTTTCTGGCCTCCGGGGGCCCTCGCCGGGCCTCGGGAGCGTCAAAAAGCAGGACGAAAAACCGGTCCCGGGGAATTGGTCCAGACCTCCTGGGTCCGCACCAACAAAAATTGAGGCATGCGGATGTCTGGGTCTGGGGCACGTGGGGCTCCCTGGGCCTCGTGAGAGGTGCTCTGGAGGCACCCCGCTGCGGCCGTCCGGAGACACCCCGGGGGCCAGGGACTCCTCCGGGGCCCGGCACACGCCTAGGTCGCACCTGGGGGCATGCCGCAGCCCCAGGGCCGAGGGCTCTCCCCCGGAGACAGTCTTGGGGGCAACCTGGCGACACTTTCGGGACGAGAGCCCAGACATGCGACGTGCTGATTTTTTTCGATGCGGGGCCCCTGGAAGTCCCGACCCTTTCCCCGGGACTGGTGTTTCATACTGCAGTCATTTTTGTTGACGGTCCCTACAGGCCCGGCGAGGGCCCCCCGAGGCCGAAAATGGCCCCAGAAACCTCCCGTGCGCGATCACGTCCAGGAGGCGCGCCCCTGCCCGTCCTGCAGCACCGCCCGCCGCCGCGCCCCGCCCGCCGCGCCTCCCCCCCCGCCCCAGAGGCCGCCGCCGCGCCCACCGCGCCCTGGGCCGCGCCACCGCGGCCCGCGCCGGGCGTGCCGGGCATGCTGACCCTGGGCCCGCCGCTGGCGCCCGCCCGCCCGCCGCGCCGCCGTCGGGGGTCTGCGCCAGAGAGGCCCCGTCGCCGGGGCGGCCTCCAGCACGGGCCCCCGCCGCGCGGTCCACCCCGCCTCGCGAGCAGCGAGCACAAGCTTACGGCGGGAGGTGTTTCCCCATTTGCGGCCTCTGGGGGCCCCTCGCCGGGCCTCGGGACCGTCAAAACACGGCTCGATCGGGATGAAAAGCCGGTCCCGAGGAATGGGTCGAGACGTTCGGGGGTCGACGTTATGGACAAAAATCCTGGCGTGATGGCGCCCGCAGGGGTCCACTCCGCACCGGCCTGCGCGCCGAGCCACCGAGCGCGCTCCACCGTTCGTCACGAGCCTGCTCGCAGGCGCCTGGGAAGCACAGGGCCGGCTCGGTGTGGACTGGGCCGCGAGGCCCCCGCGGCGGATCCAGGCTAGCTGCGAGCAGTTATTTTTTGCGAGTGCAGTGAGGCGCGCTTGTCTATGGAGGCGGCCCCCCCGCGGCCACCTGGCAGCCGCGCCACCAGGGAGGCCAAGCCTGCCCAGGGCCAATCCTGTCGGGCCGGACGAAAGGGGGGGATTGGGAAAGGGGGGGTTACGAAATCTGCTGCATGCACCTGGTTTCGGCCTCACCGAGGGGCCCATTCCTCGATACATGGCCGCCTCCGGCGCCGGGAGGCGCCGGGAAAATCAGCTACGTGAGCTGATTCTCAAACCCCTCCTTTGCTCTCCCCCCCTTTCGCCCGACCCGATCCTGGCGCGTGGCCGGCGGCGGCGCCGCCGCGCGCCGCGGCCCTCGGCGCACTGGCCGCCGCCGCCGCACGCCGCGCGCCGCCCCTCGGGTGCGGAGGGCAGGCCTGGCTCTCTCGGCCCGCCGCCGGCCGCTGGCGGCTGCCACGGTGGGGCCACGAGTTGTGGGAGTAAGTCGGGCCTGTCCCTCGACTGGAGGAGCATTCCACGGCGTACCTTTTCCTGTGCAAGCTCCTCGGCACCGCCTGCACCCCGGGCCCCGCCCGCCTGTGCCCTGTCTCCCCAATTAGAGCTGTGCGTAGCCCGCCTAGCTTTTAGCGGAAGAGGTTCGCTCTCGCCCCGCCGACCAAAAAATCCACTGAAGGAGCGCCCCGCGCCACTCCTCCGGCTGTCCCCACCTCGTCCCGCGCAGTCCGCATGGCAGCGCCGCTCCGTTTTGGCACACCCTTCACACGTTTCGTGGCCCCAGAGGGAGCTCCACCGAAGGCCCCAGCGGCAGGGTTCGCATGCAGTTCCACCGTCATTTCGGCACACCTCTCACACGGTTCGTGGCCCCATGGGGAGTTCCACCGAAGGCCCCAGTGGCAGGGTTCGCATGCAGTTCCACCCTCATCTCGGCGCACCCCTCACACGGTTCGTGACCCCATGGGAACTCCAACGAAAGCCCCAGTGGCAGGGTTCGCATGCAGTTCCACCCTCATTTCGGCACACCTCTCACACGGTTCGTGGCCCCATGGGGAGTTCCACCGAAGGCCCCAGTGGCAGGGTTCGCATGCAGTTCCACCCTCATCTCGGCGCACCCCTCACACGGTTCGTGACCCCATGGGAACTCCAACGAAAGCCCCAGTGGCAGGGTTCGCATGCAGTTCCACCCTCATTTCGGCGCACCCCTCACACGGTTCGTTGCCCCATAGGGAGCTCCACCGAAGGCCTCAGTAGCAGGGTTCGCATGCAGTTCCACCCTCATCTCGGCGCACCCCTCACACGGTTCGTTGCCCCATAGAGAGCTCCACGGAATGCTTCAGTGCTAGGGTTCACATGCAGTTCCACCCTCATTTCGGCGCATCCCTTACGCGGTTCGTGCCCCAATGGAGAGCTCCATCGAAGGACCCAGAGGCAGGGTTCTCATGCAGTTTCACCCTCATTTCGGCGCACCCCTCACCCTGCTCGTCGCCCCATAGGGAGCTAGCTCCACCGAAGGCAAACAGCGGCTGGGTTCGCATGCGATTCCGCTCCCATGTCGGTGCCCCCCTCACACGGTTCGTGGCCCCATAGGGAGCTCCACCGAGGGCCCCAGCGGCAGCTCGGCGCACCCCTCACACGGTTCGTGGCCCCATGGGGAGTTCCACCGATGGTTTCAGTAGCAGGGTTCGCATGCAGTTCCACCCTCATCTCGGCACACCCCTCACACGGTTCGTGGCCCCCTAGGAAGTTTCACCGAAGGCCCCAGCGGCAGGGATTCGCGTGCAGTTCCACCGTCATTCCGGCGCACCCTTCACACGGTTCGTGGCACCACACGGAGCTCTCCCGAAGGCCCCATTGGCAGGGTTCGCATGCAGTGCCGCCCCCAGTTCGGTGCCCCTCTCACACGGTTCGTGGCCCCATAGGGTGTTCCACCGAAGGCAAACAGCGGTTGGGTTCGCATGCGATTCCACCTTCATGTCGGCGCACCCCTCACACGGTTCGTGGTCCCATAGGGGGCTCCACCGAAGGTTCCAGTGGCAGGGTTCTCATGCAGTTCCACCCTCATTTCGGCGCACACCTCACACGGTTCGCGGCCCCATAGGGAGCTCCACCGAAGGCCTCAGTGGCAGGGTTCGCATGCAGTTCCACTGTCATTTCGGCGCACCCCATAGGGAGTTCTGCGGAAGGCTCCAGTGGAAGGGTTCGCATGGCACCACCGACGGCTCCAGTGTGATGGTTCGCATGGCACCACCGCGCCCAATTCGGCGCGCCCCTCCCACGGTTCGTGGCCCCATCAGGAGCTCCACCGAAGCGGTATTGTCACAGTGCGGCATTCGCAGCTGCATCTGGTTGGGTCTTTCGTCAGGCTCATTTCTGGTGTTTGAATAATTTTCTGACTCTTGTATTTTTCGTCAAAAAATCCGCCTGTAGGAGGACACGCCCGACCTAAGGGTGGGAATGGCGTCGGGAATGGCGTCCCCCCCCCTTGCAGAGCGACCCGCCCCTGGCCCCCGAGCACCGAATGGCGTCGGGAATGGCGTCCCCCACCCCTTGCGGAGCGAAGCCTGAGCGAGCTCAAGTCCACGCTCTCAGAAACTCGCACGCCGGATCGGCGGATTTTTCACCAAAAATCCGCCTGCAGGAGGACACGCCCGTATCCGCACTCTGCAATTTCTTTTGTGAGAGATGACGTTTGTTCTCTCTACTTCCTCCGAGCTGCAGGCGAGCTGCGGAGCTGAGCTGCACACCCATCGGCAGAAAATGCTGAGGAGCGCTAGCCTACAGTGCCTAGACGCCTGAGATCGCTCTGCTGCCAGAGCTGCGACCCAGCCGTGGGACCACCGCCGCCGCCGCCCGCCGCTGCAGGGGGCAGGCCAAGGCGCTCCACGCCCGCCGGCGGGCCCTCGGGCGCCGCAGGCCGCCGACGGCGCGCTGCTGCACGCAGCTCGGCGGCGCAGAGGCGGGGCCACGAGGGCTGCTGCTCGCAGGATCTAGGCGAGCTCGGGCATGTCCCTCTCTGGGAGGAAGATCTCCGAAATGTTCGACAACATGATTAGTCTGGGGACGACACTTCTTGATCATTGTTGGCCATTGCTGGGGCATGCCTTCATTGTTTGCGGTGTCGCCCAAGATCCGCGTGTAGGGGGACAGGCCCTGCTTCTTAGGAGGCGCGGGCCCTTTCTCTGCAGATGTGAGGCCGGCGCCTTTCAAGAAGCAGCCTCCTTCTAAGGAGCCCTCCCCCCTCCCTCCACCCCCATTGTGCACGCCGCCAGTAGGCCCCCCAGATGGGTTCCGAGCAGATGGGGTCGGAGGATCGCGCCGCATCGCCGATGCATTTGCGACGTGGCTCGATGTGGAGCCCGATGTTCTCCATGCCGACGGCGCCGATGCATCGCCGGTGTCGCCGTTGTATGGCCGATGCATCGGCGATGTGTTGGTGATGCGGGTTGACCCTCCGACTCCATCCACTCAGCTCGGCGGTTCGAAGATGCGTTCACGAGGGATGGGGCTCTTTGGACGAGTGGCCTCAAACAGTGAAGTCCCAGCCCAGGATCCCTTTCCTGTCCTCGGAGCCCCAACTCTCAGGGCCCGATCTGTGAGCCGCCCATCAACGCCGCCGGCCGCCGCCGTCCCCGAATCCTTAGCACACGGGGGGTCTTTGAGCGCAGTCGAGGGCTTCCGATGTCGCCGAGGGTGGCGCTCGCGCTGGTTGGCCCCAGCGTTTCCAGCGGGGCCCGAATTTCTTCCAATGCACCCCTCACAAGGCCCATATGGAGCCCCAGAGGTTCTGAAATGGTTCGAAATGCTCTGGGCAATTTCTTGTCGAGGTCTTACGACAGGTGCTGCCGACCCAGAAGGACGACGACCACGACCACGACGACGACCACGACGACAACGATAACGACGAGCTGATGACCCTGCCACAGGCTCGGGGCATGGGGCAGGCGGTGGAGGTTGGAGGAGGGGGTGGAGGCGGAGGGAGAGGTGGAGAAGGGAGAGAAGGGAGAGAAGGGAGAGCGGGAGGGGAGGAGGAGGAGGAGGAGGCGGAGGAGGAGGAGGAGGCGGAGGAGGAGGAGGAGAAGGAGGAGGAGGAGGAGGAGGAAGAGGAGGAGGAGGATAGCCGTCTGTCTCCTCGGGGGCGGGCCGGGGCCCGGGCTGCGGCATGGGCTGGGGCTCGGGCCCAGGCCAGGGCCGAGAGGCCGGGACTGGGGGCCAAGACCGGGGCCGAAGCCGGGGCCGACGCCGGGGCCGAGGCGAGGGGCGGGGTCCTGAGCCCCGCGGCCGTCATGGTTGGTTGCGACGCCTGGACTTGAAGGATGTGGCGGCCCTCGGGGCCACCCCACAGTCTTCAGAGTTGCTAGGGCTGGTTTTGCGGTATGCACGTCGCTGATCTAGACCTTGCCAACATCAGGCCGCCGAAGGCGGCAGGGTTCGAGTGGAAGAGGAAGGCTCGGCCCTTCGGGGGCCGGGTCGCAGATGGCCAGCGGATCTTGGTATCCGCGCACAGGGATCCCTTTCGAGCCCGTTCGATGTCTGAGATTTTTCGGCTGCCGAATGGACCTGCCGCC